AGATTTAAATGGTCTTAGCGGTGATGTATTAATATCAAACGCAAATTGTTTCCTTGTTCTTTTCGCACAAAAACGTCGCTTAACCAAATCTCGAGATCCAAACATTTTCTCTTTTATTTTCTTTGCTTTCTCTGGGTTTCTGTGGGTTCCTCTGTGTTTTCTCTGGTTTCTCTGGGTTTCTGTAGGTTCCTCTGGGTTTTCTCTGGTTTCTCTGGGTTTCTGTGGGTTCCTCTGTGTTTTCTCTGAATTTCTCTGCGGGTTTCTCCGGTTCCTCTGTGTTTTCTCTGAATTTCTCTGCGGGTTTCTCTGGTTTCTCTGGTTTCTCTGGGGTTCTCTGATTTTTTTATAGTATTGTTTTATAATTTTTTAGTATTGTAAATCGAGTTGCATAGATATAGGGATTAGAAAAGTATAATTTGTTGCTAGTGTTCTGTTCCTTTAAAATCACAAATGTAATACAATACAGAAAATGAATAATTATTGCTAAATTATTGGTATGGTTACTTACAGTTGCATTCCTACAGCCTAAGAGAGCAGAGCTCTGCTCAGAAATCTCTCAGCACTATTTGCAGTAGACGCTGAGAAAGGTGTCAACACATAGGAGGGAAGTAAAGCCAAGCGACCCTGAACCATGTGCTCATTAAGCTAGCCTCCTTTCTTAACTAGAGTACCAACGGCCAGGGTACTAAGTCAAGAATTAGAAAGACCGAAAAGTTAATACCTCTAAAACTAATCCGGTTTTATACCCACTCCACTTAGCGATTGAAGCCCTTCCTGGAAGGGCCCTGCTTCACAGCTGACAAAAAGGGAAACCTTGGAAACAGAATAATATGTGGACTAATGGAGTGTTTTTTAACAAAACATTCCTGATATGCCACTCCTAAAAACCCTTTATCCTCATCTCTATTCTGAAATAAGACTCAAGGACATTTCTCTGTTGGATCCTACAAAATTATCTCTGAGCAGGTCATTTGATTATCCTTCGTTGGAATGGCAAGCCTCCTTTTATAGGAATGTAAAAATGTGCGGTTCAAAGTTACCGCGCAGCAAAAAAAACTATCTTTAAGTTCTAGGCTTTGACCTAGAAAATGCAAGTAAACAGAATGTGCAGTGTTGAGGCTGCAATTACAATTAAGCTGAGCAAACATCTATATCAATGAAAGGGTAATCCTGCACTGTCTTATAATGGCACAAAGACCGCGACTCGTAAGCATTCTTTCAAAAGCAGCGTCATAAATGGACGAGCAAAGAGAAGCAAGAAAAGAGAGCCTGGAGACGTGAAGATGGAGAAAGGAGAAAAACTATGAACATTTGAAATTATCAACTATGCCTCGTACCATTTTATTTTATGAAAATTGTAAAAAAAAAAATATAAAGCACTTGTAAAAAAATGTGTGCTTACTTAATCACACCTTAATCATGTTATGATGTTCTCTAATTTGTTTTTAAAATTAATTCATGAACTTGAAATTTGATGGACTTTTTGGAATGCAATGAACTTAGTATATTAATATATGTCTTTTTAGGATTAGACGAACCTACCAGGAAAGAGATGGGTTTCTCCTAGAAATGGTTAATATCATTTTTTCGTTTTTTTAAATTCCGAATTTAAAGTTTTTATTAACCTAAACTATGTTTAGCTATGCATAGTTTAAACCATAACTGATATAAGTAAATTTGAACATGCAATTTTTATTGTTTTGAAAATTAACTGTTTTTAATTAATTGTTTTAGCCAAAAATGGCACAGAAAAACTAGTTAAACAAACCATTGCAGTTGAATTTATCATTGCAATTGAAAAAACCATTGCAGTTGAACAAACCATTTCAGTAGAATCAACAATGCAGTTGAATTAACCATCACAGTTGAACCAATCATTAAAGTTGCATTTTTTCGATCATGTTTTACTAGCGATACCAACTCTGAGAGATTCAAAATAATATACATTATATAATGGTTTTTGATACCTTTATACTGTATGTCCGACCCACGTACAGGGTTTCCCACTAAGTATGAGACTTTAGCAACGACTTTAAATTTAATGACCACTGCAGCTGTAAGTTTTCTGTTACCTTGACCAAGGTAACTAGTATTATAGTGTGTAAGTATTTGTGACTATTTTCAAAGCTGCTGTTCATAGTTTACCTTTTGGTCATCATATTAAGGTCGTTATTGAAATTTTATCATTTAGGGTAACCATGATCATATAAATTATAATATAGACTAAGATTTCTAATAATATCTAGAACTCGATGAACTATGAAGACACAACCCAAGAACAACTCGGCTTAAGATATAAATGGTAAATTAACTTTTCAACTACTCTTCACAGTTCTTTAAAATTTCATTAAATACTAAGTTCTTAAAAGTATTTGTCAAGAGTAGACACAATAACTCTTTAGACCTGTAAACATCTTCATTCTTTTGCTTCCACTCCCCCCTCTCTTACACAGAGATTTAACGATTTATTTTACGTCGGACCCTTAGATAAAAAAAATATTTTCCAACTTGTCCTTTTCCTACCCAACTCTAAATTACCTCAATCCAAACCATAGACACAAGAGACTCCTTCCTTTCCCCAGTATAAAACTAATCCTTTATCCTAGAATCCCCTTCAGCTTCTTTGTTGTCAATTTATATATATTATAAATACTATTCTTGGAAAGTCAATTTCCAAAACTCTGCGACTGTATACACGTTGCTCTTTTTAGCCTGAAAACCTGAAATTTGGTTAAGAAAACACTTTTTTAAATCATTTTCGGCGGAAATAATATTCTTGGTCACGTGGTCAATAAATTTTAGTTTTAATTGAAGAAATCAGTCTAACTTTAAAGAGTTAAGCTTGCAGATCTGTAAGTCAGATATGGTTGGAATATAGATGAGGTTGTTTGAAGAATCCTAAAACTTTTAACAGAGAATTTAATAATAAATAAATGTTTTAACTTCTAAAAATTAAAGGGAGTGCTCGTTAAAAAAAAAATTTATTTTGCAAGAGCAATTTCAATAGGAAACTGATGACCATGTTTAATTTACCAAGGTTGGTGGACTTTATAATTTAACAAAGTTATTAAATTTTAAAATAAAAATTTTAATAAAGTTATTAAATTTTGTAAAAGCTTATTCGTTTTTAATTATTTTTTATTTTTTAAAAGTTAATGTTTAATCTTAAGTTGTTACAGAATAGAATTATGGAAAATGCCGTGCTCACAAATCTTCCCAGGACTAGTAGGTCAGAACTTTTAAATTATTTTATACAACATTTTTTAAAATGCATAATAATGTTTTTTTACCGCCTTTTAACCAACATTACTACCCTATGATTCCCCAAACAGAAGTTATTTTACTTCTTTTGGAACAATAACCGGCCACCCGCTAATTAAAGTTTTTTTTTGAAAAAATTTGCGTATTTGCATCTCAAAAAGACTATAAAATTGTTTACACATACGTTTTCCAGATATTTAAAATTTTACATAACCCTAGATTCCCTCGGCTAACTTTGCCTACAAAACATCCCTTGATACGCTTCGGATGTGTTGTAGGCAAAATTGGTGTTGGGAACTCTGTGTAAAGTAAAATTCCCTTAACTTCCCTGCACTGCAATAGTTGGTAAATAAGTATTATATGATTAAATGACGTAAATATTTTTAAATCTAAGAGCTCAGAAATAATCTATAAAAAAGCCATCAAAGAAAATGTGATGGATCATTTCTACTTTATATTTCAAAACGTAGGACAAACCTATATCAGTTGTGAAATTAGTTTAAAAGGGAACATTGTTTTCAAAACCTTACATCTGAATCACCGTGTTATTGGTACCTCTAAAACATGTATGTGAAAGCAAACAATCCCATTAATGTATTGTTAAGATGTGGCAAGTAGAAGGATTGCTATGGGACAATGCTGGAGCGGAGTAATATCTACCTGCAGGTACAGTGAAACCCATCAAACGGGAGAATATGAAGACGACTTTTAAAATATGATTTTAAATATGAAACCAAATAATTGTGCGATGTACACAAAATCTCATCAATTAATAAGCTGATTTAACTATTTGCTAAATAAAAACATCAAATATACATTATATTGATAAAATGTCGTCTTCTTGTTCAACAGTTTTATGGATGGATTAATATCAAACGCAAATTGTTTCCTTGTTCTTTTCGCACAAAAACGTCGCTTAACCAAATCTCGAGATCCAAACATTTTCTCTTTTATTTTCTTTGCTTTCTCTGGGTTTCTGTGGGTTCCTCTGTGTTTTCTCTGGTTTCTCTGGGTTTCTGTAGGTTCCTCTGGGTTTTCTCTGGTTTCTCTGGGTTTCTGTGGGTTCCTCTGTGTTTTCTCTGAATTTCTCTGCGGGTTTCTCTGGTTTCTCTGGTTTCTCTGGGGTTCTCTGATTTTTTTATAGTATTGTTTTATAATTTTTTAGTATTGTAAATCGAGTTGCATAGATATAGGGATTAGAAAAGTATAATTTGTTGCTAGTGTTCTGTTCCTTTAAAATCACAAATGTAATACAATACAGAAAATGAATAATTATTGCTAAATTATTGGTATGGTTACTTACAGTTGCATTCCTACAGCCTAAGAGAGCAGAGCTCTGCTCAGAAATCTCTCAGCACTATTTGCAGTAGACGCTGAGAAAGGTGTCAACACATAGGAGGGAAGTAAAGCCAAGCGACCCTGAACCATGTGCTCATTAAGCTAGCCTCCTTTCTTAACTNTATCTTCAGGAAGGCTTGGTACTGGTAGGGATGTACTTGGAATAATGTTGTACTAGGAATAAGATGTACTTGGACAAATTATATTTGAATAAATAATAAAAAGAATTATACTTGCAATAAGGAAGCAGTTAGAATAGTGATTTACTTAGAATTAGGATGTATTTGAAAGATGTATTGGAATAATACGTACATGATATAATGGGAATAAGATGTACTTTGATTTAGATGTACTAGGAAAAAATATGGACTTGGAATAAATATGTACTTGGATAAAGATGTACTTGAAGTAGAATTATCCTTGGGAAAAGTATGCACTTTGATTAGCGATGGAATTAGAATGTATTTGAAATAAAAATGTACATGAAAAAAGGCGTACATGGAACAAGATATACTTGGAATAAGATGTGCGTGAACTAAGATGTACTTGGAATGAGATTTAAATGGTCTTAGCGGTACTTGGAATAAGAATAAACTTGAAATAAAGCTGTTCTTTGAATTAGGATGTTCTTAAAACAAGTGGACTTGGAATAGGAATTAACTTGGTTCCAGGGGACTGATAATAAGATACTGGGATAATAGGTTTAGCAAACTCTGTACTTTAAACTTAGTTCAGAAGAGAGCTTCTAACACCAAACTTGGAAGGATTAAGAAAAAGACAGACTGGTCCCACAAAGTTGTGTCTTATCTTCAATGTACATAAGCCTGTACACACTATACACTAAACAGGGTTATTCACAACCTCAGAGACGACCTTATACATCTTAATAAGATATACAGGGTTACCCACAAAGGATAAAGCTTCTGAGACGATTATACAGAATTTGTTCTGTCTTCGCTTTCATATTATTCGTAACTGTAAACTGGTTAGTGGTTACTCTCCTTGTTAATCATATGATATATAATCAAAGACTATATTTAAGGTAGAACCTCAAATTAAATCTTCAGGTTCCTATCGTCGTCCTTCAGGTCGTCATTAAATTCGCATCCTTTGTGTATAACCTTGTATAATCCGCTACAATTAACAGTTAAAATCTTTTAAATATTTTTCTTGCCAAACTATTTATTTGCATTAATTATATCATATTCAATGTTATAATGGACTATGGTGCAACTACAGTAGAAATCAAAAAGTTTGCGGTCGTCATTTAGGTCTTCTCTAATTTAATTTAGTTTTTTTCGCCATTTTGTAAATACTCAGAAAAAAAGTGGGGTTGGGTGGAGAGTGTGTGACACCAGTTCTCGTTAGATCATTGAAGTTAAGCACACTTGTCCTTAGCCAGTAACTGGATTGGTGTCCAGACTGGTGGACAAGGAGGGAGAGTATCCAATTCGGGCTTACAAATGATTGGAGGCTTCATTCCAGTACATCAGAAGAATTTCTGAACTCTATATTCTCAGGCCTAAAAAGAATATTAGGCAGCTGGAATCTTATTAACCCTCTTCTCAGTTATGAATGAAGCGTGGATGGCTGAATGTGCTGCCAGATTACAACTCCTGGTAGATCAATATAAACCCTTACAAGACCAAACTTTCGCAATAGAAAAATTCCAAGATTCGATCTTAACAACCTGATCATGTCCTGGGGACAAAAACATCTCGCTAAAAAAAGAAAATAATGATGTTTACAATTCACCTCTCTATATCAATTCCTTTTCACTTCGTTATTTCTTTTACTTGGCTTTTAAGGCGCTTCATTCCCCCTTTTATACTAACAGTTTTAGCTTTTAATTGCTGCTCTATATTGGCCATCTTTAATCATACTAAAATTTTGGTTGAGTTTCTTTTTAAATTGGCGCATTTTCAAAAATATTGATTGCTTACATTTTTTTCTGGACGAAATTGTTTAACTTTGACGGTAGGAGTGGAGGGAGGGTCTGAAGGGTAGGAGTGGAGGGAGGGTCTAAAGGGTAGGAGTGGAGGGAGGGTCTAAAGGGTAGGAGTGGAGGGAGGGTCTGAAGGGTAGGAGTGGAGGGAGGGTCTAAAGGGTAGGAGTGGAGGGAGGGTCTGAAGGGTAGGAGGGGAAATAAATGCAGACTAGGTTGTAAAGAATGCCATTTTATTATAAAATATTGACTTCTTTAACTTTTATAGTTTGGCAGCACAGTAATCCGTTTGTGCAACTTCAATTATTAGGATTTATAGAAACTTTTAAATCAAAAACAGAAATAGCTTTTAGGAGTTGTATGAATCCATTAGTTTATGAATTATATGTTTCCTCCAAACAAGTTTTGCATAACTTTGTACATGAGAAAAGTGTATTCTTTTAATAAATAGTTTTTTTTTTATTTTTTAGGATTGACGAAAAAGAAAACAGGTCCCCAGTACAAGAGGTGATACTTTTATACGACAACAAACAGTTAAACAGTGACCAAATTTAATTAATAGCGAGAACTATTGAAGACATAGTTAAGCCAGTTCTGTAATTCTATTTTGCACGGGTTCAAGTTTCAGTGGTTCAACTGTCTGTACTCAGTTCAAATGCTTCTCACCTTTTATTAAATCTGGTCCCAGATGAATTTTCTCGAAAAGATCTCAATTGAGTAGAAGCCATGTAAAGTTTTAATCATTTCCCAAAACTTTTTAAATTGAAAATATAAGGTCTTACTCCCAGGTACCCAGCCCCCGATATTTCACACTAGAGAATGAACAGAGCCAGGAGGGTCAACCCAGTTTATCCAGGTATATCTTCAGGAAGGCTTGGTACTGGTAGGGATGTACTTGGAATAATGTTGTACTAGGAATAAGATGTACTTGGACAAATTATATTTGAATAAATAATAAAAAGAATTATACTTGCAATAAGGAAGCAGTTAGAATAGTGATTTACTTAGAATTAGGATGTATTTGAAAGATGTATTGGAATAATACGTACATGATATAATGGGAATAAGATGTACTTTGATTTAGATGTACTAGGAAAAAATATGGACTTGGAATAAATATGTACTTGGATAAAGATGTACTTGAAGTAGAATTATCCTTGGGAAAAGTATGCACTTTGATTAGCGATGGAATTAGAATGTATTTGAAATAAAAATGTACATGAAAAAAGGCGTACATGGAACAAGATATACTTGGAATAAGATGTGCGTGAACTAAGATGTACTTGGAATGAGATTTAAATGGTCTTAGCGGTACTTGGAATAAGAATAAACTTGAAATAAAGCTGTTCTTTGAATTAGGATGTTCTTAAAACAAGTGTACTTGGAATAGGAATTAACTTGGTTCCAGGGTGTACTTGGTTCAAGGGTGTACTTGGTTCCAGGGTGTACTTGGTTCAAGGGTGTACTTGGTTTAAGGGTGTATTTGGTTCAAGGATGTACTTGGTTCAAGGGTGTACTTGGTTCAAGGGTGTACTTGGTTCAAGGATACACACGGATTATTTTTTAAGGCAATCTTTTATACAGAAATTAAAATAATCCTAACATGGCATTAATACTAGAAAAATAAGAGGGACGTAGGAATTATCAGATTCGTAATTTATATTTATTTGATGGTTTTGGGAAATTTAACTAAATCGACCATATCGTCTTCATAATCAGAGTTTCATAATTCAATTTTACGGCTTATTATTATTTTAAGATAATTATATTTTTCATATTTTACAAACACTTTGTTTACATGATTACCGAGGAACCTTTACATTGCATTTTTGAATATGTGGCCATGGGTCATCTTGCTTGATGAATATCCGTAGCTACATTGGTCATCTTGCTTGATGAATATCCGTAGCTGCTTGGGTCATCTTGCTTGATGAATATCCGTAGCTGCTTGGGTCATCTTGCTTGATGAATATCCGTAGCTGCATGGGTCATCTTGCTTGATGAATATCCGTAGCTGCACGGAAGTTGTGTTAATTGATTCATTAATTGGCATACAAGTGATTGTTTTATATCATATACTATTGCAAAAAAATATTACCCTTGATACTTTTTCAGCAGAGTTTACAATTAGCTAATGGTAGAAAATATGAATAAATATATGATTAATGAGAAATAATCTATTCCTTGGTCGATGTCCAGAGCTGAAAACTTTAGAATGAGATATCCTTAATCTCGATTACTTGTATCCAATGTACACACTTTTGATTTTCTTCTGAAACCGTTCTTTCTGGGATATGGTAGAGATTAAATCAAAAACCGGGTTTTTATATAATCTTAAATGGCGCGCAAAATTTTAATTTATCGGCTTCTCATACGCGACTCTGATTGGTTGAATTTTATTCACTGTTCAGGATACAAGTACAAGATTAGGTTAGTCTCGATAATATGAAAAAGAGAGGATCAAGCATCAATCTCGATATCCACCATTCTAAAGTGTTCTGCTCAGTTGACCCGCGCGGTAGCAAAAAACATTTGTTTTATTAATGAGACTGTAGGCTGTAAGCTTAATTTCAAGTGAACCTCTCAGCAAAGATGAAAATATCCAATTCACAGAAATACCCTTAAAAGCTCTGTCTGGTCATGTATGAATGAAATATCATCGATTATTATTTTGAAAACTGATTTTTTAAACCGTGGGTTCTCTAATGGTTTTCTACAAAAGTTACTTTGTATTTCTACTGCAGGAAAACTCACAAAGTTATCAGAGACTTTTAAATCTCGAAAACAACAATATCTTCCACATTATTATAGATCCGAAAAAGGTTTCATGGGTACTGTTGTGAATTGGGCATTGCTATTACTTAAATACAGTGTCCCGTGACCTAGTAAAGAAACTGAATACTTGCCTCAAACTCTAATTAACTATAATTTATAAATCTGTTCAACCTAATGGCGTAAACCTTTGATATTTTAAGCATTAACTATTTTATATAATCCGAAGTCGTGAATCTCGGAATTAAGCATTGATCTCCAGACCTACGGATTCATTTCATTCTTTTTAAATATTTTAATATTTCATTAAGGGATCATGCACTTTAAATATCAAGTTAAAGCGTTCTATGATTACTTGACACGAATGTTCCGACAACAGTAAATTTATCTTTTACTTTTAGGAACTGTGAGTGCAAAGAGAAACCAGTTTACAGAGAAATATTGAATCCAGGTTATAAAAGTATGATACACCCTGTATACCAAGAACATGGTATACAGTGTATACCATGTTCTTGGTATAAGAACATCTCTGACACCCTGTACTTAAACTTCATGAGTGATTAACATCCTGTTGGACACCCTGTACAAAATAAACAACTTCAAGGACACCCTGTACAATATGAACAAATCCTAGGACACCCTGTTCAATATAAACAACTCCTAGGACACCCTGTTCAATATAAACAACTCCTAGGATACCCTGTACAACATTAACAACTTCTAGGACACCCTGTACAATATTAACAACTTCTAGGACACTCTGTACAATATAAACAACTTCTACGACACCCTGTACAATATTAACAGCTTCTAGGACACACTGTACAATATAAACGACTACTAGGACACCCTGTACAATACTAACAACTTTTAGGACACCCTGTACAACATTAACAACTTCTAGGACACACTTTACAATAAAAACAACTTCTAGGACATCTGTACAACATTAACAACTTCTAGGACGCACTGTACAATATTAACAACTTCTAGGACACCCTGTACAATATTAACAACTTCTAGGACATCCTGTACAATATTAACAACTTCTAGGACACACTATACAATATAAACAACTTCTAGGACAGACACCCTATACAGCATTAACAAGTTCTAGGACATCCTGTACAATATTTACAACTTCTAGGACACCCTGTACAATATTAACAACGTCTAGGACATTCTGTACAATATTAACAACTTCTAGGACACACTGTACAATATAAACAACTTCTAGGACATATTAACAACTTCTAGGACACACTGTACAATATAAACAACTTCTAGGACATCTGTACAATATTAACAACTTCTAGGACACACTGTACAATATAAACAACTTCTAGGACATCTGTACAATATTAACAACGTCTAGGACACCTTGTACAATATTAACAACTTATAGGACATCCTGTACAATATTAATAACTTCTAGGACACACTGTACAATATTAACAACTTCTAGGACACACTGTACAATATTAAAAACTTCTAGGACACTGTACAATATTAACAACTTCTAGGACATCTGTACAATATTAACAACTTCTAGAACACACGGTACAATTTAAACAACTTCTAGGACATCTGTACAATATTAACAACTTCTAGGACATCTGTACAATATTAACAACTTCTAGGACACACTGTACACTATAAACAAGTACTATAGGACACCCTGTACAATATTAACAACTTCTAGGACACACTGTACAATATAAACAACTTCTACGACACCCTGTACAATATTAACAACTTCTAGGACACACTGTACAATATAAACAACTTCTAGGACACCCTGTACAATATTAACAACTTCTAGGACACTCTGTACAATATAAACAACTTCTAGGACATCGGTACAATATTAACAACTTCTAGTACACACTATAAAATATTAACAACTTCTACGACACACTGTACAATATTAACAACTTCTAGGACACACTGTACAAAATTAACAACTTCTAGGACACCCTGTACAACATTGAATCCTTCCAGGTCACCTGAACAATATGTTCTCCCGAGTGGGTCAACTCAGAGAACAAAGATCTGAATACTTCCCCTGGAAAGGACACATCACTGGGTAAACATATTTGCAGTTTTCCATAATATTTTACGTTTTAACATGAAACAAAGTTTTTTGAAATAAAAACTTTTGTTAAGTGTAAATATTATTTTTAACATTTCTCTGACTCTGAGTTACAGTTAATTGAAATTAATAATTGCAACATCGAGCTTGATCACGGCCCATTTGGACGTGCCGTTGTCTTTTCTGTACAGACAGCTGAGGAATTTCTTTGAGAGTAGATTTATATCTGGGCATATTTCTCCTGATAAAAAAACACCTTCACATATAATAAGTTTTTAAAGGGATTCTAGAGTGTAGACGTAATCTCAAAAGTAATTTATATCCATCGACCTATTGTCCTGAAACTGTGATTCATATCTATTTTGGAGTGGTTGCATGTTCAATTCAGCACGGTATCTTTTAAACTTTCATCTGGAAAAGGGTTAGATTCTGATTATTTCCTTGTCTATGCTGCATAAATACAACAGTCATAAAATCTGAAATATCTTCATTATGACATCTTGTAAGTGAAGGATCAGTTGAAATTATGTCGCTACTCGGGAGTTTATTTAAATCTTTAAAAACTTGCTTCTACACTTTAGTTTATGTATTTTATCCTGAACAATAAACATGTCAACAGGAAAAATAAACTCAAAGAATTCAACATTAAGTTTGAATTATTTTTTTAAATGTTATAATTATAACAACGACAACATTGCCATTAACAGGACTAATATTGGATTAAATCCGAATTATATTTAATCCAACTTTTTTTTTGTAAAATTATAAGAGCCCTGCTTTAAATTAGGAAACAAATATGATTTGTTATTTTTCAGGAAATCTCTGCTCCTTAAAAAGAATTTTTAGATTAAATTTTCTAAATTTTTAATCATTTCCTCTGTCCAATTCTGTTCCATATTTAGAATTTTATCAAGCATTCTCATTGCGCTTTTTTTCGAAATAATTTTTAGAATATTATAAGAACAGTTTTTAGAATATTAGAAGAACAGTTTTTAGAATATTAGAAGAACAAAGTTTTTAATATTAGAAGAACAGTTTCTAGAATATTAGAAGAATAGTTTTTAGAATATTAGAAGAACAGTTTTTAGAATATTAGAAGAACAGTTTTTAGAATATTAGAAGAACAGTTTTTAATATTAGAAGAACAGTTTCTAGAATATTAGAAGAATAGTTTTTAGAATATTAGAAGAACAGTTTCTAGAATATTACAAGAACAGTTTTTAAATATTAGAAGAACAGTCTTTAAATATTAGAAGAATAGTTTTTAGAATATTAGAAGAACAGTTTTTAGAATATTTAAAAGAACAGTTTTTAATATTAGAAGAATAGTTTTATAATTCCTTCAAAAGTTCATCTTTCAGCTACAATTTACCTTTTCGAGTTTGTTCCGAGACAATTTTTATTTTGCATATTATGGAATAATATAGTTATTAAACGCAAAAAAAATAGTTATAGGTTTTTAATAATGTTTTTTTTTACCTTATATAAACTTTAGGAAATCATATGCATTCACTAGAATAAACTAAAAATGTTAAAAAGTAAATTCTATTTATCATTAATTTTGAAAGCTTTTGCTTTCTGTATTGTTCGGAAGCGGAAAAACATTTATATTCATAAATCTTTTAGATTTAAAATTTGATTTATTTAGACGAAGCAGAATTGGTTCCGAGGCAGCCAGTTACTCAGCCTTTCAGGTTTTTATACTTTTGCATCAATCAATCAAGTAAATAATGATATGAAACAGTTTTAAGCAAAGAGAATAGAATATATATTAGAGTGGAATTTACTTGAAAAAAGTGTAAAAATGACCATTTTGTTGTATTGTTTCCATACTTTACAAACAATGGTTTTACGCTATAACTATAAATCACATGATGTTTTTTATTCACCTAATTTATTTTATAAAGTTTATTTAACAGATTTAAAAAATTTGAAATTGAAATGGATAGTCTAGGGAACATACTGTATTAATGTACTCTACTGCATATAATTTGTGAACATTTACATGATTTGTACACTTTGAACTCCCTTTCAGGCTGGAAGGGACTGACAAAATTCATACCGAGAGATTGTCTAAATTCCACGCTAATATATATTCCATTCTCTTTGTATCGGTGTAGCACACTGTACACCGATAAGAAATATCAAAAGAACGAAGAATTTGGATTTTTTGTCAAAAAATATGATCATGTGGTGTTTAGCTAAACAATTCTGATCTAAATTACAGCAAAATGTTTGAAATTTTGAAATTATTTCGGTTTTATATTTTATGATGACAAATATTGAGATGTTATACATCACATTCACAAAACTTTATAAAGACTGTAACGAGCTTGACTTTTTATTCACAGAATTCTAAACCTGGTTCAATATCATCCCTGGACCTGGAATGGGAAAATGAAGGTTTGTATTTTGGTCTTTCATCTGATTTTATGGTATACGATACTTATTCTATTAAAGGTATTGTCAACTTAAAAATAAATCTTCTTTGAAATAAAGCGATTCAAACCGATTTTTTCCATTTTATTTCTCTTTGATAAAGAGCTGAATTGGGAGGAACAAAATTGTTTCGAATTTTTATTTTATAACTTGATAAATTTGCTTACTTTTGCGTAAAATAAAAACAAGAGGAGCTACGAGAACATAAAGTAGGATTTGTAATGTCACCTTAATTGCTTTCAGTGGATTTAATTATTTTTTCAACTGGCAGATGTTCTCTCTAAAATTAGCCTTTCTCTGTATTTACATTTGCTTTGTTTTCTGTCCGTTTCTATCCAATAAACGGAAAAACGGCTGAAACATTTCGTCTGGAAAAAATTTGACATTTATTATTTTGAAAATGTGCAAATTGAAGAAGAAATTTAAAAGTTAAAATTGTCAATAAGAAAGGAGGTGCCAAGTGACTGTAAAGTCTAGTAATGAATACATATATTTGTTATAAAGAATAAGTTTTATTGTAATTGTATATTCATGTTAAGATACTAAAGAAAGAGTATTATTTTTCATAAAACTAAGAGTATAACCATGTATCTATGATGTTGGATATATAAGTAGGGTCATTATTTTTCATTAGACAACATTTCTTAGCTTTCAGTTTCCAAGATTGTAATATTTTCTGTGAGCATATTCCTTAAACGTTGTAAAATATATCTTCACTTCATAAACTAAATGTTCGGTGTGTACTGCACTGATATCCAACTGCAGTACACACGCGGAATTAAGCAATAGAGTGTTTTAGTGGAGAGAGTAACATATTTGAATCTTGTATATGATTTTCCACAATGAACAAAAGCCCAAGGTACTAATTCAAGGAAAGTTAATTGCGGTTGCGTATACTCTGCGTACATATTGAAACCAGTTCTCTCTGAGCGGAATTTGTAAACAAGAATAGATGCATCAGTGTTCGTCTGGTATCCGAGGAGGTTAAAAGGATTTTGATAATTTTAAAAATTCACAGAATAGTTTCCTATGACCAGAATATTTCATAGATTATTTTTGTGAAAATGGATTCCATATCAGGCTGTGACATCCGTCTTGTGTTTACTTTCCGCCCAAAGACAGTACACATACAGTACAAAAAATGCGTACACCTCTGAAATAACTTTCCTTGCATTTGTACCCTGCAAAAGCCTAAATAAAAAACTCGGATTGTAAGTCAGAAAAAATGTCCAAAATGTTTGATTGATGTTTCCTTAAAATATAATCATCGAAGTGCAAAAATATTTTTTTACAAAAGGAACAAAATTCTCAACAATTTTCGTTTTGTAAAAACAAATTTTGTTCCCAATTTTTATAAAATCTATTGACATAAAATGCTTTGGACAATTGAATGAAGCATAAAAACATTCTCAAATATTGTAAGTAACAAATCTACACCAAATCTTAAGAAATAGAATATTTTCTTCTGAAGATATACTATTATTACATAAAAAGTTTTGCGGATTTTTAACAACTCCAACTTTTCTATATTGAGTCTCGACTTGAGTTCCTGCATTAAAAAATAAACTAGTGCCACCTATCTTTACAATTAATTATTTTCGACGAGCTTTTCGAAACTGTGAAACTTGCACAGAATTTCCAAAAAACAAAACATTTGAATAATCTTTATTTTCTGCAGAATTTGAATTTGTTTGTTATCTAGAGAGTTTGGACATAAGCGCCTGTAGAAGGGATGTCAAGTATACAACAATGGAAGAAAATGGCAACACACCTTTTCTCAGGTTTGTTTAAAATACAGGGTTACCCACAAAGTATTAGAATTTAATGACGACCTGAAACTATCTAAATGTAAAGGGTGCGTTTTATCTTTTCCCATAAATAAAATTACGTCTTTTAATGGTTTAAAAAGAAACAAATCTGAAACCTCAGGGAACCATGACAAATGTCAAAAAATGACTAAATAATATCCGTAAGTCGTCTCTAAAATCGCCTTCTTCCTTGGTTTATCTTCTATCTTACTATATCTTATTATATATTAAGATTACCAAGTAAAAAAATGCTTCAGTTTTATTCAAATGACGATTTTTGGTCATACGAGTGGATGAGGGCCAACCACGTTATTTCACCCACGAACCACATCACTATCCTCATTGTCTCGTCCGAACCAGCTCAGACGCCTCATTCATGCATTTTCCTTCTTTTAGATGGATAAACTTGGGAAGTGTGGCTTTTTAAATATAGAATTAAATTGTAATTTAAAAAAATTGTCTAAATCAAATGAAGTTTTAAAATTCATATATCTAAAATAATTTCTGTCTTTTTTTGCCCATTTTTAAATATTTAAAGTATATTATAAAGATTAATCTCTTGAGTTAATTATATCGAAAACCATGAGAATTTTTCTGCAAGGTTTCGTAGGAAAAAATAAAAGACTGAGAGTCTGAGGTATGACAAATATTTTACTTTTTATTTTTTATATTGAAATGCAGTACAGGACGTAGGCAGAAGAGATTTAATTAATATAGATTGACAACATACTTTGTTAAAAAGCGAACACTTATTCTAGCTTATAACAAACTTAAATCGAACCTGTAGTGAAACGTGGCCGGATTTTTTGATCGTTTTCCAACCAGCACATTATTAACGGATTTTCTTGTTGGACCCTTAAAAATAATGTCAACATTTTTTTGCAGGCAATATTTTCCAATTTCGATCAGAAATAAACTTGTCCTCGACGTCCAAAAACACTTATTTCTTTGGCTTGGTACTATGTAACAAGAAACATTAAATAAAAAGTCCCACCATTAGAAAAATAAATTCTCTTCTGTAAAAGTTGAAAAGTGAAGAAACTTTACATTTTGATGCAGGTGCTTTGCTTCTAAATTACTAAGGATAAGATAGAATAATTAGAATTAAACTAAAGCGGAATGTTTTCAGCTCAAACTTGAGTCGATAGAAATCGATTAAACCCATGGTTCTAAAACCGAACTTAAAGCATGAGAAAGGACTATCCAAGTTATTAAACCCATGGTTCTAAAACCGAACTTAAAGCATGAGAAAGGTCGATCTAAGTTATTAAAAGAATTTCATTTCTAAATTCGCCCTATTTGCTTGCATGAGGTTTCTAACAAACAATTAAATAATTTCTTTAATTAAACAATCATTATATCTCTCAGTGATCCAAAGACTCTCATGGAAATATTTACGAGAACTTTGTGAATTAGTTCTTGTGAGGTCAAATTAAAGGCCAAGACATTGCGACTCTTTAAAGTCGACCCAGTCTTAAAAATTAATGTAACTATTCAAATCAGTCTGGTTCTATGATGTGATCTACACAAATATTTGAACTGTTAAAATATTTCTAATTTTCTGTTTAAAATTCATCTTCATTAGTTGTCAGTGGTTAATGGTGAATTCAGTGGTGCAACTAAGCCCCCATTAAAGCCCTAGTCTCCACTTTAATCTTGAAGCATCATTAATTTCTAAAATATATTTAAGATGGCTGCCGGCTGCGGAGAAGCAACACGACATCAAGAATTCGCCTTTAAAATCCGTAGAAAACATAAACACAAGGTAAACGTTAAACCATATCTGGTTAGTTCGGCTTTTTGTCAAAATTCTCCCATTTCAGCCCCATCCGGCTCCCTACGTCTCCCTCCGGCACCCTCCGCCTCCCTCCGGCACCCCCCCCCCTTTGAGCGACATAGAGCTTTAATGCGTACAAACTGGAATTTAATGACATTCTTTGTTCTCCGTTTTCTCTTTTCTAGATTTTTATAAAATACATATTACATATAATTTCATACCGTGGTTACCAGAAGACAAAATAGTGATTGTCATCTTCTGTTCTTCTTTTATAGTTCAAGTGTTCAGTGTTGTTTACATTTCTCCCAGGAAATGCAAAACACTTGATTTGTAAACAAATTGCTATAGAAAGGGATTTCTTGGTGTATAGCTTGGTGAAAGTATTTACACTATGAACTAATCTCGGTTTTAACTACAGGGTGTCCAACATCATATTGGATTGAATTAAGATCTCCTATTTCATGTATGATGATTTTTAAACCTTAAGATTTAGGAAACATTTGTTTATCGATCTATAATAGATAATTAGATATTTCCAAAAAACTTAGTAACCGCGCGCATCTACATTATACACATTTAATACCGTCATCCGAATACGAGAGTGTATTAATCCAATATGTATATTCCTAGAACCTCTAGTGTATCAAGCCTAGCCTGGGATAATGATAATGAGGTGAGACTAATCCAGAATATATATTAGTTAAATTAATGTTTAAACATACAGGACAAAATAGGATAGGACAGCACAAAATGACAAAACAAGGTCGAAAACTATTTAGGTTTAAAAGCTCCGTGCTCGATATTCCCTTTGGCCTTAGTCATCAAGTCTTTCAAATCCAGATAATAATGAGACCAGTATAGCTCTTTCATTGGCTTTGTCTGCAATCGGCCTTTTAGATATATAAATTAACAGTTTAGTATCCAGACACTCAATAACATTTTTAATATTTTTTTACGAACACTCATTATAAGTTAAAAATATAAGTGTTATTGCGGTTATAAAGTAACGGCTTATAAAAATTCGCATTGTAAAAAGAAGGAATGTGTAATGAAAGTTTCTATAATTAAAAAAGTTCAAATTTAATGATGAAATTCAATATTTTTAAAGTTTTATGTTGAATTTCCTCTGTAAAAAGATTTAACGTTTAAAGATGAATATGAAAAATAGTATTTGAAAGAACGAAAACACAAGAATAAGATACCAGGGTTTAATTAATCCAACCAGAGGAAAAATAGATCCTAACTGTCTGAGAGAAAATATAAAAACAATATAATTTATTTATTTCTTTTTGGAAATATAAAGTCTGGACTTTAAGAAATAGACTTAAATAAGGAAAAAAATAAAACGTCTTTTTTTATATTTTAATTTAAAAGAATTTTATTTAAAAGTTAAAGAGTATGAATAAAAGTAAAAAAAAATTGTTTAGGGATACTCGTGTTCAGCTCCAATCCTAGATACTGAAACAGAAAACCTTCTCAGGAAAATAAAATAAGCTATAACCAACGAATTCAAACCAAACCAAATTTACAAACCAAACCAATTTCCAAACCTAACCAAACCAATTCACAATCCAAATGAAACCAAAGTAATCTATAATATATGCAAACCAAACCTATCCAATTAACCGCAAACACCACAATCCAACCTAAAATCAGATCAAACCAAAGAATACGATCAAATTGGATCAAACCAAGTTCCTGGAACCAATTCAAACCGAACTACAAACTGAACTAAACAATCTTTCCATTCCACTCTATCTCTCTATCCAAAGGAATTTTTCCCAAGTGGCAACTACCCGAATGTGAAACTTCCCAAGTCTGAGCATTTGGGAAAATACCTAACATCTTATCAATTATTATATATAAAAAATAATAAGAAAGTAAAAACCAACAAAAGACAAAATAATTCAAATCATTTTTAAACTCTGCCATTCCAACTGAAAGTTTTATCATGTTTATTTGTTTGGTTTAGTGAAATAGAAGAATTAACCTCGGCAGCCCTTCGAGAAACTGCACAGGTGGAAATTGTATTTTTTTTTATAAGTTAGATTTTCTTTCCTAGTTGCGTAGATTTGCATCAATTTTCTCTTATTTGTCCAATTTCCTATGTATTGGATATCATCACAAATGCATTCTAGCATTTGAAACGGATTGGTGTAAACCGTAGGTATTTGTTTTAACCTTAGATTATTTGATCTAACAGAGTCCGAATTGAATGAATCTTAAGTTGCGTCTCAAATCCCAAAAAACCGGTTTCAATTGAATAATTCATAATTCATAGATTGAAATATCTGTAAAATATAAGGTTTGCGACTAATTGGGTTGCACATAGGCATTAGAAAAAATCAGAGTTTGTGACAAAGACTTAATTCCTTTATACAATATAAATTTCTGCAAATATTCAAGTCTAGATTATGTAATAATTCTTTCTGAAAGCATATACATTTAATAATTCGTTTCATTAATAATACGTATCATGTGTTACTGTTTAATAAGCTCGAAGAATAAAATAGTACTGTTTAGTGGCATAGTGGGTACAGAGAATAAAATGTTATTGTTTAGTAAGCTCGGAGAATAAAATATTATATACTGTTTTGTGGGCTCGGAAGAATAAAATATTACTGTTTAGTGGGCTCGGAAGAATAAAATATTACTGTTTAGTGGGCTCAGAAGAATAAAATTTTACTGTTTAGCTGGCTCAGAAAATAAAATATTCCTGTTTAGTGGGCTCGGAAGAATAGAATATTACTGTTTAGTGGGCTCGGAAGAACAAAATATTACTGTTTAGTGGGCTCAGAAGAATAAAATATTACTGTTTAGCATGGGCTCGGAAGAATAAAATATTACTGTTTAGTGGGCTCGGAAGAATAAAATATTACTGTTTAGTGGGCTCAGAAGTAAAATATTACTGTTTTGTGAATAAAATATTACTGTTTAGTGGGCTCGGAAGAATAAATATTACTGTTTAGTGGGCTCAGAAGAATAAAATAATACTGTTTAGTTGGCTCGGAAGAATAAAATATTACCGTTTAGTGGGCTCGGAAGGATGAGACTCCAATGTCAATGTCCAGCAGTTCGATCGAGAAAACTGAGCAAGGATTTCTTCAACCTGATCAAGGACCAATAAACTCAGGATCAATCGATCAGATGATTTCTTCGATTGACACAGACTCATCAAATCAATAGAATATGAAGAGATGGATTCAATGTTTAAACCTTTATTGTACTGAATGGACTTTTGAGTAATAGAAGAATAAATGTAAATTTTCCTTATAAAAGCTTGGAAATCAACTCTTTTCTGTTTTAAGGAAACAAATAATTGATACAAAAATGTTCATCAAATTTTTACAAGAAACGTGTCTTACATATATTAAGTATTCCATTTCCCTAAAGCGCTAAAATTATAGTAAGTTAGCTCTTTTTACAGTATAGGATTTATTTTTGAAGAATTTAAGCCCAAGCCCTGAAGATCAAGTAATATCAAATCGAATTTATGTAACTATCAAACTATTTCAGATAGTTAAGGCCCATTTTAGTTTAGTTTGATTTTTACTTATTTTGAAAGTTAAAATTTTTAATTTTTTTTTATAAATTATGCGACGAAAGAATGTTTTTTTTATTGAATATTTAAATGTACATTTTCTTCGGTTAATAGAAGTTAGCAACCGAAACAACAAAACTTAAATTTATAAACTGACATAAAACTTAAACCATTTTCCGGCATACCGAGTTTTCTTTATTTAAATACAGTGGTAGGCGTTTTTATCTATACAATACAGACGTTTTGATTTCTAATTCAAACTTTAAATTACAAGTTTACAAGCAAACAACGAGAAGCTGTTAATTGACAGCTCCTCTTTGTTTCAAATGCCCATGTTTATTTTTTCCATGCTGTTTAAAATCAAAATTAGTATAGAAAGACGTCTTGGTTGTATTGCTATGTAGTATGTACGAATGACTGTATATTGTTTGACAAAGACGGTTTTTTAATTGAACTATTTAAATGCTAATTCTGACATTTTTACTGGCAAATTGAAATTAAGAATGAAAACAACAAAACTTAACTAGTCTTATACCTTTAAAGAAATCTATGACCGGAGTAAAATCTGATTTATCGCTTAGAATTCCAGCGGAAAGGTACAATACCTTTGCATATACACTAATTTTTTCAGTAACGACAGCCCAATAAAATCTAAAGTTATCATATTTCAATGACATCATGTGTCAGCCATTTTAGATTTTAGAATTTGTAGGAAATAAACGTTTTTCGTGTTTAAACATGATTTAACAAATTAACAAATTTATACAAAAACGATTTTCTCCCTCAGACAAACCGGTTCCTAGATTTCAAATCTTCATTAATTCAGAGGACTCTTGGGGAAGTAGGGAAAACGTATCAAACCTTCAAATATTTAAAATAAGTTATATTTTGATAAAAAAGACAATTAATAAATTATTTTGAAAAAGATTAAAGATATCTACAATTAACTATTAGAAACTACAATTCAATTTAATATTAGAAAATTATTAAAAATACATGACATGACAAAAAACATCAAATAGTGTAAATGCAAAGGTATCGTACCTTTGCGCTGGAATTCTGAATAAATAATCGGCTTTTTCTCAGGCAACAGTCTTTGAAAAATTTAAATACCAATGCATATAGCTAATCTCAAACTACTCAAATAAGTAAACGGTCCCTTGAAATACAGTGGTAGGCGTTTATATCTATACATTGAAGACAACCTTTTTAATTAAGATTTGATTAGTTTCTCTTTGTTTCCATGTTTATGTTTATCCATGCTGTTTTAAGCTTGGTGGAAATTAAAGATCTAAAGTCGTCTTCATTGTATTGATATATACGACGGCGACTGTATAAACTCGAAATTTATTAAATATAGTTATGTCCTCAATAGTGGACAATTTTCTTCAATCCTGGGAACCAAAACAATCGTTTGAAGGATTGGTTAAAAACTAGAAAGCATAATTAGCATATTTTGTTGAAACCTAAAACGAATCTGATTGAATTTGATTTTGAATAATCTTATTCAGATAATTCCCAGAATACATTTCTCAAATCTTAACTTTCCAGAGACTTTATTTGCGCTTTAGAGTAAATATTAAGATTTAATCATGAGTTTAAGAAACTAGATTAAACCCCTGTTTACTCTGTTTTCATTCTAAAGATTCTCACAGCTTGAAAGATTCGACATGGAAAACATTGTGTACTCACATATCTGTATAATTGTCATATATATTTGTCAATCTAACAATCATTGTTAAAACTACAGAGAAGTTGTGAATCTAATGTGTTTAATTAACTTTAGTGAAAGCATAGGCCATCAGGTTACCAGTACAAACGTCGGACCCACAAACATCGGACTGGTAGACACGTCGGACAGTACAAACGTCGGAAAAGTACAAACGTCAGACCAGTACAAACATCAGACCAGTATTCAAACGTCAGACCAGTACACACATCGGACTAAGGAAAAAATTTAAATTTCAAGATTTATTTTAAAAAGTTATTTCCTTTTTTCGACTGGTCTAATAAAAATCTACCAAAAGTAACTGAGTTCTTGTCACTAACTCAAATATTCTCATCCCTATACCTTTGCAACCTGGTAATGGTATTAACCTTTGATACTTTCAAACTTAAACTGTTTGATCTAATGGATTTAATAGGTTGAAATATTAAAGGTTATATGACATCGGGTTGCAACGATATAGGCATTGAAACACGAGAGTTTGTGACAATTGAACTCAACTCCTTTGTAAAATTGTAGTCTGTTGTTTTATACAGTATCTCTGATTTTCATCACAATAAGAGTGTGTATTTTTTTAAATTTATTTATTATAGCAATGGTATTTTTTTCAAACTCAACCAAAGTCCGACTTTTTCCCGTCGGACGTTTGTACTAGTCCGACACTAGTCCGACGTTTATACCAATCCGACTTTTGTCTCAGTCCGACTTTTGTAACAGTCCGACGTTGGTACTAGTCCGACTTTTGTACTGTCCGACGGTTGTACTGTCCGACCTTTGAAAAGTCTGACGTTTGTGGGTCTGACGTTTGTACTGATACTGCCATCAGTCCTACATAAATGTAAAACCGGAAATTAAAAATGGCAATCTTGTTAATTAATGATTTCAAAAAAACTTTGGAATTATTGAAAAAGTCTAAATTAGTGACATCTTTAACCCTATTCCTGCTGGGGGGGGGTCAATTTGACCCCCCCCCCCTGTAGTTTTTTTACATAACTCAAACAGCATTGGTCTGAGGCTGTTGAAATTTTCTGACTTTTCTTACATACCCAAAGCCTTCCGTTTAGGTCTAAAACCGGGCTTTAATACTAACTGCCTGAATGACTGCTTTTGCCTGTAACAAACTAAATCTTTGTTTTGACCCACTTTCACGTGTCAGATTTTGATAAAATTTAGCTTTTTGGAAAGCCTTTGACATACGGAATCGGATTGCACAAGTTTTGCGAAAAAAAATTGCTAATTTTTTGCAAACAACCTGTCAAAGGAAATTTGCACATTTTTAGTTTTTCTTGATTAAAAATCAGGTTTTTTAAAATTTTGCAAAAATTTTTGCAAATTTGAAAAGGCATGGTCAAGGGCTTTTCAAAAATGTATAATTTTTCATTTTTTGGACAAATTTTTTTTTGCAAACATTTTTACATTTACATTTTTTGGATTTTGCGATAAAAAATTCAATTTTCGCAAATTTGCAATTTTATTGCAGATTCTAAAAGTAGAGCACAAGAGCTTTCTAATGATGTATATTTGTCATATTTGGACATAAAACATGGGATTTAGAGGGGGGGTCGACCCCCCCTCCCCCAGCATATCCTGGTTTTCAAGTACCTCAGCAGGGATAGGGTTAAGGCGATTATGATTTTTAACGTTCAAGAGTTATTATGATGACGTATCATCTATTATCATGAAAAACTTTGGACCCTCAAATACGCTGGATAATTTTAAGCCACTATCATTTTTTTCATTATATACTCCAAAAAACAAAAGTTTTCGTGTATTTTCAAAAACCGTAAATGTTGACTTTTTTATTCAGGCAAAAATGTCCATTTCGACCAGCCATTAAACTTCTCCGGGGTCATACGAGTTGACACAAAAAATACAGACAAGACAAATATATATTTATAGAATCTGGATGCTTCTACATCATTTTACCTGTCCCCTGTCATTGTATTGTATTTGTATCATGCGTTATGCACTTTAGTACCTAAGAGATAAAGTTATACAAGGGTAACCAAAAACAGTGAAATGATTGTTGAATTCTAACTTTTGTATATTGCACTAGCAAACTTTCTATCTGTATATTATCCAATTTATAGACAAACTAGCTAGGAAATAGTTTTAATTGTTTAGTTGTGTATACACAACTAAACAATATATATGCAGTCTAGTTGTATACCTATCAAACAGTACTAGGAACGAATAAGTAAATTGTTTAGTTGTGTATGCAGTCTATTTGTATACCTATCAAATAGTCCTAGGAACGAATAAGTAAATTGTTTAAATTTGTATACCTATCAAGCAGTCCTAGGAACGAATAAGTAAATTAACTCATTGCTACAAACTCAAATTTGTTCATTCCTATATATTTGTAACTGGTGCATGTAACTATAACAGAATTCATAATTAAATATCTAAGTTCTGAGACATTGGGTTAAAAAGATTTAGAGACAGAAGATCAGAGTTTGTGACAAACATGAGTTCTTTTCTCTAAGATATCCTGGAGAATCTTGTACGTAACATTATACGGTAGGGATTTCTTAGTAGTAATGACAATTACTACTATTCTTTTACTACAGTGATAACCAGAAAACAATAGAATAGGAAGACGACATTATAGCATACTTTATAAGTGTATTGGTCTTGTTACAAAGCAAATAGTTTTTTTAGACACTTATTAAAGCACTGATTTAGCGAAATGAGTCTGTTTACACCGCACAATTTCTGTGCTGTGCTTGTATGACTTTTATTAAAGCTGTAACTTTATTCTAAAAGTCAACTTTCTATTTCAGAGTTTTCTGGTTATCACTGCACAATTATAGGAGAAAGAATACAATTATGTCATGGGTTTTTGATTACCTTTGTGCAGTGCAGTACAGTTGTGATATATTTACCCTGTTTTTATTTTAAAACATATCATAAATCATGTAAAATTTAAATATTTGTAAATAAATAATTGTTCAAATATATTCTTAATCAAAAAGAGTTTAAACTGTTATAAGATATTAGAATGATTTATAAATGGAACAAGAACAATTACGAGGTTACTCAAACTGAAGTAAAGTATTTGAGTTTTTGCCACAAACTCACATTTTTTAATCCTTATATCTTCACAATCTGATGGTGATGTAAACCTTCGATATTTCAGAGAGAGAGAGAGAATTCATAGTCTGAAATATCAAAAGTCTAAAACATCTGGTTCCAAAATTCCGGGGTTAGAAAATCTGTGGCAAGAAACTCATTTTCTTTAACGTTTGATTGAAATTTTTAATGTTTTATTTAGGAGCTATTGAGAAAACCAAAAAAATTTTGATTTTCTAAATTCTAACTGGATAAACTCATTTTTCTCATTCTTTTGCGAAAAATCCAACTCGAGGAGCTACGAGGTCCCAAAGTTGTGCCAGTAATATCGCATGAGTTTGACCTTCTTCTAAATCGTTTGAATTACAAAAACTACTCTCTCCTATACAATCAAAGTGAAAAGTAAATATTTTAATACGTTTAATATAATACTTGATAAGTCGATATTTACATTTCTTGAACATACTTTTTTAAGCTTTCATTCTAACAAATATTAAGAGAGAGAACATCTAAATACACATTTGATAGTAAATATTATTTAGTTTCAAATAGATTTTGTTCTTAATAAAGATTTACATCAAAATAACAAAATATTTCGTGCCATTGACAATTTATAAAAAAAATGTTCTTTGTCACCGTATACATGAAATCAAAAACAGTGTCATTGTAGCCTTGCAGGTCAAATAAAGCCGTTTTGGTCTGCAGTCGGAAAAAATTTATTTTTGTTCCATTTTTTTATACTTCTCGGGTGTCCCAAACAGTTGGTATCCCCCAAAAGAATCAGATCTTGTTTTCAAAGATACCAAGCTATTAGTTCTGGTTATAAAGTGTGGACTGTTTGTGTCGATATTTCCAAATATATAAAAAAATTTCAACCAAGTAACTAAAAATAGAGATAACTTGGGTTCGAATATTTACACCTTCACTTGCAACCTATCATAACTTACTAAACTTTGTGCTGGGACCTAGAATTATTATTGGCGTCCATTGATCGGAAATTCAAGGTTGATTTCGAACCATTTTAATACAACTGTACTTTACCGAGCATTTATTTTGGGTACATACCATGTATTTTAATTTTGTTAAATTAATATCCGAACCTAACACTTTCTAGGTTGGAAAACACTTTACTCCTCTGGGTTTCAACCTCACCCCTGCAATATAAAATATTTAAGGAGATTGTTAACGTTACTCTAGTTTATATTAAAGAAATATTATTTCTAATTCATTTTTTGGATAATATTATGTTCTGTGTGTAGCAAGATGGAACAAAACTTTCTTCCTGTAATGGTTTAATTACTTTTTTATTTGAGATTTGTAAACAACATGAATATATTTGCTTCAAGAAACAACATGAATATATTTGCTTCAAGAAACCAAGAAACAACATGAATATATTTGCTTCAAGAAACCAAGAAACAACATGAATATATTTGCTTCAAGAAAAAGAAGTTGATCTGTGATACGTATAATAAACATTTAAAAGAAAGAAAAAAAAACATATAAAAGAAGAAGAAGATATGTTGGGAATTTCGTTCATTTTTTTAAAACCTGAGTTAAGAGTAGCCCTCCCTCCCCCCACCTCTTCGGCGTTAGTAGTGAAATATTTATACTAACCTACACACAGACACTAGAATATACGGACACTGCCAATCCGTGACCTCAGTAACCAGGCTACCTGTTCCTTCAAACCTGAAACAAAAATAAATATAAAATTTCGAATTTTGTATTAATAAATGGAAAGCTAGTTTCCTAAAATTTTTAGTCTCTGATTAATTCTGAGAAAGAGTTAATCCGAACTTAACAAGAGGATTAAAGAATCTTTCTCCTTGAACATGTATTTGAATCTAAATAAATTAGAGGCTTGACCATTCTTAGAAAAAATAAATAAATGATGTCCATCAATTGATATGATGTTTACAAAGTATAATATTCGTAGAATTTGCAGTCGTACTGCTCACTCATAGTATAGGTCCTCCCACAGTTTCTTCTCCATGAAACGGAGCCAGGAGCAGGCATGAGAGCAGTCGCAGTATTTAGAGTAGTTTAAGTGCTGAGTGGAATGCACGATTCAACCCAGAGACAATAAAGGAATAAAGGAATTAAATATTGAAACTTCACCTTTCAGCTTATCTCTGGCATAAATCTCAGCTGAAAGAAGGAATACAAAAACTAAAAAATCAGGGATGAAGTACGGGCTGACACCGCTTTTTTACTTATCCTGCTCTTAAAAATGAAAACTGGATTTTATCCTGATCTTAAGAATGGATTGCTACAGAAGATCTTATCCAGAGTGGGGCATAAAAAGGATAATTGTACTCCTCATATGCATAATGTATAATTAAGCATATAATTATGCATTAATGTATAATATAATACAGTCCTCACAAGTCGGAAATGACCAAGAATGTAAGGCAAGGAAAGTCAATTGCGGTTGTGTATACTCTGTGTACATATTAAAACCAGTTCTCTCTGGGCGGAATTTGTAAACAATAATAGATGCATCAGTGTTCGTTTAGTATCCGAGGAGGTTAAAAGCATTAAATTTTGATAATTTTGATAATTCACATAATAGTTTCCTATGACCAGAATATTTCATTGATTTTTTATGTGAATGATGGATCCCATGTCAGGTTTCGACATCCGTCTTGTGTTTACATTAGCGCTCAGAGACAGTACACTTCAGTACTAAAGATGTGTACACTTCTGAAATGACTTTCCTTGCCTTACATCCTTGGAAATGACTATAAATTGAGGAACAAGTAGGCTTTTTTCAGCATCGAGAAATTCCTTATAATATCTCTTCCTAACCTATTCCAAACTTCCAACTCCTCCAAATTATCCATACCTCGACATCAAAAGAATTAGCTGAAATCATTCAAAAAGAAAGAAGATATGAAAAAGGACAAAAAAAATTTATGCTGGCTGACCTAGATTTGAGATTTAGCTTAAATACAATTAAAGAAACCTACACCCACCCGGCCCCATTCCACCCTTCCCCTCTGATTTAAAACGGTATGATCAGCTGTAATGAGTCAGGATTCCTGGTGAATGCAATAAGGATAGCGAAATATAAAACCAAGACATGCCTAGCCTCTAAAATAAAACACATATGAAGTGTAGGAACAGGGTGTCCAACAAAATTCCAAAATCGACAACATATTGGTGGTTAACGGGACATACAAAAAACTTTTCTATCATAATTTAACCAGGAACATGATGGAAAATTAAAGCACAGGAAAAAAAACATTTTGGAAAACAAGATTGTAGCGCAGAAAATGAAGTTAAATAAGAATTGTGGCAGGGTGTATATATATACATGTATATATATATGCAGACATGTGAGCAACCTGTTTAATTGCTTTGACCATCTCTTTAATTTATACATATAGTTTTAAACTTAAATAAAGAATTTAAAAAATGTTAAAATTCTTTAAAAAAACTTTATCTGGCTTAAAAGGGATTTTACAGGAATCATCATTTAATTGTTTTTCAAATAGATTTTAACCATTATTTTATGCGAACAATTAAAGAATAAACATGGATTAGATGTTGTCCTTGTTGAATTTCTGGAAGTAATGAGAGAAACATGAAATCCAGTGAAAATATTCGTCCCTTCTCTGGTAGAAAGTATTCCCAACAAACATAGGAATTAAGTGACGACTTCAATATCGTCTTTGTTCCGACGCAGCACTATTTTGTGAACACAGTTTCAGTATTATCCCAGCTTAAGAAATTAACAACGAAGACTAAACTAGCCTGGAGCATTTAAAATTGTGGTTCATTGTTTTTGTAACTTAGAAACTTTCGTAGTCATTGATAAATCTGTTCAGTTTCAAATTCATTATACATAACAACATTGGAATAATAGAAAACAATTATTAACTATTGTAAATTAAAGATGATTTTCAAGTCATCTCTAATTAACATGTTTATTGGGAAAACCCTGTAAGTTTGAAAAACTCTTAAGATACATGATTGCCTTAAGTCAAATGAAAATTCTCTTTAAAAAAATGTATTAATTCAATTATAAAAAATACAATTTTCAAAACTCAACCGGGGCCGCATCTTGTGAAGAGTTTACTTTCCACAAACTTTTAAAACTTGATATTTATTTTGTATTGAAACATCTCTCGAGGATGAAAAATGTTAAAGTTAGAAAATTTAAATTTTAAATTTCAATCTTCTTAAAACATAATTTTAGTTCATTTTGCCAGAACTCTTTCACATCAATATTTACCATGAAGAAGTTCTTGGCTGAAGTGTAGTGGAAAACACGGAGTTGCATATTCCACCAAAACCGTAAATCAGTCAATTATATTTAAAACTAACCATTTAATTCGGGGCATTCATATGAAGTTTAAATATCAAAGGAATTGAGTCTTTTGTCACAAACTCTGATTTTTAAATCCCTATATCTTAACAACCGAATGTTGTAGACCTTTGATATTTCAGACTATGACTTCTGTTATGTCAAACAATCAAAGGTCTACATAATTTGGTTGTAGATATATTGGTATTAGAAAATTGGGATTTGTTGCAAAGACTCAATTCCTTTAAAAAAATAATTATGTTCCATGTACTTTGGACGAAGATTTTTGGCCGCTCGTTTTCTTTACCAAGTGAAATACCTGAAATATGGACAAATAATCGTTATCCACAGTTCACCGCATATGTAAAAATTAAAGATTAGGATATATAAACAACACAAGAATATCCCGAGTTGAATTTTAATATATTTCTTGTGATATCTGAATAATTAATTTAATTGACTTATTTACGGTTAGGGCCGGCCAGTAATCCAACTCCTTGAATTTATATGTGATCTACTCTCTTGGATATATCTTAGATTTAACCATGTTTCCCATATTTGACAACAGATAAAAGTAAAATTTGTAGCGATCAAACCCTAATTCAATTCGGGATTAACCTATACCCCATTTTATTTTTTCAAGAACACTCCTTTTAACGGTAAATAAAGAAAGGCTAAAATTAAAAAGTTATCTAAACCTGAAGCTTTGTTTACTTGTTGTTTGTAAACACCATATATTGAAGGATAGAAGACATGTCACATGATCGCTAGCAATCATCAACCCCTGTACAGTGTACATTATATTTATATTGATTATACTCATAAAGAGATAGTTATGGAAATTTAAATTTACCTTTCACTGAAAGTGTTATCTTGACCTTGGATAATCTTACCCTTTAAGCTGTTAAATGACTTAGAAACTGAAGTTTTTTTAATGAAGTTTAATTTTACTTTACATTTTTTAATTTACAACCATGTTATTGCCTGTTTTCCCTGTAGAATTAATAAATTTGATAAAGATTATAATTTTTCACAGAATGAACATCGAATGAAGACCTTGAAATATGTTAACTATCAGCAATTGGGTCTGAGCATGTTTAGCTGGTAATAAAACTACATTTTAGAAATATATTTCTGTTAATCGAAAATATGTATGTTGGTCTTCAATAACATGTTGTACCTTAACAAAAATAATGATGAATAAAAAACATATTTTTTAAAGAAGATTATGTAGAGAAAAGGATGAATAGTATAAATAAATAAACCCCCTTTAATTAAATTATTTTAAGATTTAAACACTTATTCTAAATTACCTTTTTTTAAATATTTTTTTCACAATCAGAAAAGAGTATTTTCTTAAATATTTAAAACTTGAAAAATTATAAATACGATAAAAATTAAGAGTTTTTTTCTGAAGAAGAAAAAAAAGAATGAAAACAAAATAAAAACAATAAAAAAATTATGACAATAAAAAAGCAAACATGACTGAAAAATAGATGAAAGCAAACATGAAGAAAATATTAATAAAAATATGAAAAGATGAATAAAAATATGAAAGATGAATGTAAAGATTAATCAAAATATTAAAGATAAATAAAAATGAATAAAAATAAGAAAGATGAATAAAAAGATGAATAAAAATATTAAAGATGAACGTAAATATGAATTAAAATATTATAGATGAATGAAAAGATGGATTAAATATTAGAAATTAATGAAATGATGAATAAAAATAAGAAAGATGCATGAAATTATGAATTAAAATATAAAAAATACATGAAAAGATGAATTAAAATAAGAAAGATGAATGAAAGGATAAATTAAATATTAAAGATGATTGAAAAAATGAAAAAATATGAAATATGAATTAAAATATTATAGATGAATGAAAAGATGAGATGTAATTTTAAAGATGAATAAAAAGATGAATAAAAATATGAAAGCTTTTTGAAAAGGTGAATAAAGATATAAATGGATGAAAAGGTTAATAAGAATATTGTAAATGTAATGAATGAAAAGATGAATAAAAAGATGATTACAAATAATTTATAAATATAAATTAAAATGCGAATAAAAATATGATTGAAAAGATGAATAAAAATATGAAAGATGAATGAAATATTAATAAGAATATTGTAAATGTAATGACTAAACTTACCTCATTATTATCTTGATAAACTCTACAGAAACAATATAAATAAAGATAAGAATATTAATACATTAAAGAACAACTATAACAAAATCATATAAAAGTCAGGGTTCTTAATAAAGGGAATTGGTATCGGATGAATCAATTTAAGCCTTAGCCCACCCCCCACCCCCCACCTCCCAAAAAAAGGGTGGATTTTTCTCTCTGGTAATGCTGCTCAGAATGAAACAATTAAGTGAATGATTTAAAAAGATAAATTCTTATTACTTAATTAATGTCACCATGAAATTAAAGTTAAAAATTAATTCGAGCAATTGATTTTCAATTCATTTTGTAAATTATGAAGATTTTAATGCTGAAAATCTTGAAAACTTTAAACTCTGATCCTAAACTTCATAAATCTTAAATTAGAAATTCTTAGATCTAAGGTTATTATTTTCATTTTAAGTTTCTAATATTTTGAAGATTATTCCATTTGCTCTATATCCTTTAAATAAACATTTGAACACATAACAAATGTATTTAGTATTTCATTCAATACTTGTTGAAAATAGACACTTGCTGCAAGGTTATAAAAAGCAATTAAAAAATTCATGAAAAAATGTATTTCTACAATTTTAAAAAGTTCGTAATTTACGCTATTTTAATTGAGGGATGGAATATCAACCTGTTATTAAATTCTTTAAGCTGGTGTGTGATTTAATTTAGAATTCCAAAATAAAAATTTTCAAACCATATAAACAACTCCAACAAGTTTTATTTTATATGAACTTGTTTTTCTTTCAAAGTCTGTTAACAAATTTAAACGTTCACGTTTACACTTGAAAGAAGCACCTGAAAGATGAATCGGTTTTAATGTTTTGTTCATCTTTGAATTGAAAGAAAAGATGAAGAGAGAAAACTTAATCTAGAAAATGGAAAAAATTGATGGATTGACACCATCAGAGTTCTAATATATTAGACAAAATGAAAAAAGGAAAGCATGGTAGTTGTTTCCTTCAAAAATGAAAAACATTTCATATTGAGATTTAGTTTTTTGAAACTTTTAAACCAAAAGATTTCTTAAGAAAACGAAACCTTGCCTCAAATCATGTTTTTCTCATTGTTATACATTTTTAACCCGATACAACTTTGGAAATTTGATCTATGGTGGTTTCGTTTAATAGGATAAGTAGTTTGCAATAAAAAAGATCTACTGCATCAGGCTGTGAAGATATTGGAGTTATAAAATGAAGGTTTTGGTAAGTTCCTTCCTTTACAATACAACTTCAAAAAAATAGGTTTTTATTAATTGTTCCTGAAGTGGCCAAGTGCAGAATTGGTAAAAACAGGGATATTCTCATAGTACTCCCAATACCTAGAATACAGATTAATAAATATTCCCATAGTACTCCCAATACCTAGAATACAGATTAATATATTCTCATAGTACTCCCAATACCTAGAATACAGGCTAATATATTCTCATAGTTCTCCCAATACCTAGAATACAGATTATAATATTCTCATAGTATTCCCAATACCTAGAATACAGGCTAATATATTCTCATAGTTCTCCCAATACCTAGAATACAGATTAAAATATTCTCATAGTAGTCCCCATACCTAGAATACAGATTAATATATTCCTATAGTACTCCCAATACCTAGAATACAGATTAATATATTCCCATAGTACTCCCAATACCTAGAATTCAGATTAATATATTCCCATAGTTATACTCCCAATACCCAGAATACATTAAAATATATTTTCATAGTACTCCCAATACCTAGAATACAGATTATAATATTCTCATATTATTCCCAACACCTAGAATACATATAATATATTAACATAGTATTCCCAATACCTAGAATACAGATAAATATATTCCCATAGTACTCCCAATACCTAAAATACAGATTATAATATTTTCTTAGTACTCCTAAAATACATATTATAATATTCGCATAGTACTCCCAATACCTAAACTTCAGGTTAATATATTCTCATAGTACTCCCAATACCTAAACTACAGATTAATATATTCTCATAGACTCCCAATACCTAAACTACAGAATAAATCATTTAAAAACAACATACCAATCTGCGACAAAAAGATAGATTTTAGGAATAAAGCATAAACCCTGTTGTGTAGAAAGTAGACTTGGTAGATATATTGAGAGCAATAATTCTTAACATTTTATTATCCTCTAGACTTACACGACTTACAACATGATTTCTTTTCTCTGTTAGGGATAGGCTGATTCTTAAAATATTCATTTTCGACATAACCGTTTTTACTTAGTTGCAATTATTTTTTGATTTTCTCTTTAAAAACGTTTTATTTTCGAAAAAATATTATGTATATAGGACGAATCACTGTGTCTATGGATAATATATATATGCTCGTTTAGTCCGCTAAACTTGAGCATTCTGTGGTAATGAATAGGTTATGCAAGGCCCTCAACTAATAGTGAGCTGGTTGAGCTATCTGGTCCCTATTTCATTACCCAATCAACAGTGTTTGATGGAGCAGTGGTTAGTGTGTTTGATCCATAATCTAAATATTCATGGTTCAAGCCCCGTCAACTGCAAAAATCAAAATCTGAAAAAAATTCAGTCCGAAAAAATTCAGACGAAATACTGTGTCTATGGATAATATATATATATTTATATATATAGAATATAGAGTAGCCTACGAGTTTAACTGCTATACTCAATCCCATAAAGTTTTATACTGTTGGTTTAAAAACTACAATAGTAAAGGAACTACGGATAATAGTCTTTCTAAATGTTCGAATTTTTTTTTATTAAATCGAACATTTTACCTCACTGCATAATTCCACTCATTGTGTCCACTAGAACAGTTGAGATTGAAATAATCTTAATTTTTTTCTAAAGTATTTTTTCTTTACGCATGTTCTTAATTCCCTAGTAACATAATGAACTTTTAAAATAAGAATTATAAAAATTTCAAAGCTTTTGTAATCAAAATTTAAAAAAAAGGTTGAGCATATAATATCGAAAGAATGAATTATCTATAAAAAGAATATCGTTTTCCGTTGGTTAAGCTGTCGTTAAAAATATATTTAGTGCAATTCAGATATTCTTGGAAATATTAAAAAAAGAAAAAAGAAAAATTGATGTTTTTTTTCTGGAAAGGAATTGAGTTTTTGCCACAAACTCAGATTTTCCAATCCCTATTTCTTTTCAACCCAATGTCGATGAGCTTTGATATTTCAAACTATAAATTCTGTTAGATCTAATAATCTAAGTTTGAAATCTCCAAGGTTTAAACCATCCGGATGCAGAGATATAGGAATTAGAACATTTATGTTTGTGGCAAAAACTCCATTCCTTTGCCAACATCGGAAAAAATAAAATTCAAGATTTTTGTCTAAACTAAATAAAAATATTTTATAACTTTCCAACTTAAAAAGTTTCATAAAGTAATGAATGGTTAACAACTGGTTTTGTTTGTTGTTAAAGTTTCGACAAAACGCTGAAATTCTTAATTATTTTAAACAAACTTTTAAACAATCAATCAATAAACAAACGGAACGGTACTAAAGTTTTAAAAATTAATGTTTCCTAATTACCTAACATTTTAATAAAGAAGGAAGGTCTTTTTAATTTTTTTAAAATTATTTTTTTTCATGTTATTCTTCATTTTTTTGTCTCATTTTATTAATTCTCTTCTGCCTTGAATCCTTCTCGACTTGGAACTTGAATATACCGGGGTTTAGTATTTGTTGATTGCTAAAATCTGCCATAAAATCCCAAACCTAAAATATTCAGACACAAATTAGCGTTTGGGTAAGCTCTTTGCTTTTAGATGCAGTTTAAAAAAAAAAACTTGGAGTTCTATTTTGAAATAAAAAAGTAGCGAGACGCAGTAAAACCAAAGAGAATAGAATATATATTAGAGTGGAATCTAGACAATCCCTCGGTATGAATTTTGTCACTCCCTTTCAGCATGAAAGGGAGTTCAAAGTGCACAAAGCATGTAAATGTTCACAAATTATATGCAGTAGAGTACATTAATACAGTTTGTTCCCTAGACTATTCATTTCGATTTCGAATTTTTTAAAGCTGTTAAATAAACTTTATAAAATGAATTAGGTGAATAAAAAACATTATTTGATTTATAGTTATAACGGAAAATCATAGCTTGTAAAGTGAAAGGCATAAGTCTAAATGAAATGATAATTGGTCAATTATGAATCCAGTCTATTTCATAATTTGTTTTTCTTTTAATATTAATTTTAGATTTTCTATAAAATGATGTTCCAGGGCCCAAAAGGTTATATAGCACAAATATGTGAAGTACACCTGTAGTATGGAAACAGTAAAACGAAATGGCCGTTTTACACTTTTTTCTAGTAAATTCCACTCTAATATATATTTTATTCTCTTTGAGTAAAACATGGAATTGCTAAATCAGTTACTTCTTCTGCTATGCATCAAGTTGATATTAGGGGGACACAGAGGTGGTTGAACTATCCGTAGCAAGTTCAGCGAAGATAATTAAAATACAGTCTTTTTCTTATCTTAATTCTTTATAAAATTGCAGTCTTGCACTTTCAGACCACTGTAGATTACGGGGATAAAGATTTCATTTTAAAAACAAAAAACAATTTTTTTATATTTAAGTTTATCTAGAACATTTTATTTCGCGTTTTTTCGTATTTTTTATCAGAACTAAGTATTAAATTAAATATTTACTTACTGGAAAGAATGTTACATAAAAAATCATGAATCACCTTGTTTGGAGTAACATGAGGCAAGGAGACCTGGAATAAAAAAAACGTAATGAATGGGGAAAAACCTTTAATTGGGAAGCTCGGGAGAGCCACGGAAATGTTCTTAGCTTGAGTGTTTTGATATTCTAAGTTGATTGGGAAAAAATCTAAAATCCTTGCGACTAAGTGCGGGTAAACGGCGGAAGTACCTATGAGTAACCTGGGAAACGCTGGGTTCCCAAGCTAGTATATAATATAATATATTCATTTCAAGGATAAAGAAAGATTAGATCGGAAATCCATAATATTGAAGTATTTTGATTTAATATTCTAATATACATACTATATAGTATATATACCATTGAAAATACAAAATATATTTAAACAACTCTAAATTTTAAATCTGAACATTGTATAATGTAAATTTTAAAATAAAAAATAGGAATTTATGAAAAGAATATACGGTAAGGACATTTTATTCTATTACAGCGTTTACACAAATATTCACCATCAATAATACAAAATCATGAACACAGACAAATAGAGATCATGTATACACGTATATAGATAACCACCTCATTTCAACACAGACAAACAGAGATCATGTATACACGTGTATAGATAACCACGTCATTTCAACACAGACAAACAGAGATCATGTATACACGTATATAGATAACCACCTCATTTCAACACAGACAAACAGAGATTATGTATACAAGTATATAGATAACCACCTCATTTCGACACAGACAAACAGAGATCATGTATACACGTATATAGATAACCACCTCATTTCAACACAGACAAACAGAGATTATGTATACAAGTATATAGATAACCACCTCATTTCAACACAGACAAACAGAGATCATGTATACACGTATAAAGATAACCATCTCATTTCAACACAGACAAACAGAGAGTATGTATACACGTGTATATAGATAACCACCTCATTTCAACACAGACAAATAGAGATCATGTATACACGTATATAGATAACCACCAAATTTCAACAATATATGAAAATTTTGATTTAAAGAAATTGAGGTTTTCCCACAAACTCCGATTTTCTAATTCCTATAACCCGTTTTCCTAGAACTTTGATATTTCAATCTATTAATTCTGTTAGATCAAATAGTCTAAGTTTGAAATATCAAAGGTTTAAACCATCAGGTTGCAAAGATATAGGGGTTAGAAAATACAAGTTTGTGGGAAAAACTCAATTCCTTTATTGTAAAATTATTTTTTTTCAAAACTGACCTTGAAAATAGTTCGTCTTGTTACAGTTCTAAACAGAAAATAGATCGCTAGAAGTCCGATAAAGAAAACAATTGATCTTCGTCGTAATAAAATCTTAAAGTATCCAGCGGAATTTTTTCTGTAGTGTCTCATTTTCTTTAAACCTCAAGGTGTGAAGAACAAAATACAAAATTTCTGAAATATTATTAAAAAGATAATAATGACAAAGATTCAGTCATTTTTCTATCTGATAAATTCCAACAATTTTTGTCATCGTCTCTGCAGCTATTCACATCACCAGTGTAGAAAATGATCAATTTTAAGTCAGAAAACAAGGACAAATATAGATATATTTTGAATTGAACGAGAACTGGGGACAGTGTAGGATGAGATAAGCAACTGAACAAATCTATCATTGTTTTAAAATCTGATACCATTGGGGAGGGGGAGGGGCAGTTGTAAATAAAGTCGGGACGTTCAGACTGAATTTGGGAGGGGTGGACGATGGGGGGGTTAGAGGGAGGGGTTGAAAGGTTAAGGGTAAGGGGAAGAGGGGTGGGGCAAAGCGCGGTCATTAGGTCATATTTTCATAATCTTCTCATGATGGAAGGATATATTTAATCAATGGGTAATTTCACATTGACTATGAAAATTTTGGTAAAATATTCTTAAACGCTGTCTTGACCCCCAAACTGTAAACTTCGGTTCATATTAAGTACTTTAGGCAGCAATCAATCAAGAACTAAACATTCAGGCAAGATGGGACAGTATATACTAAATAAATCATCTCGCCTAGGCCCCTCAATTTTTATCAATGGCACTCAAATTTTTTACTAATTAAGACATAGAAATTTTAAGGATTTTTTGTAATGCATAGGGTGGGGAAGATAACGGCCGAAAGGCCAGTCGGGTTAAAAATCTTAAATAACCTTTTTTTATTGTTGTTTTTGAACTATGTACAGATCTAAAACTTACAATAAAAAGCCCATACAAATTATATAAAAACGTATCATTACATCTCTTTTTTGTTAAAATTGCCCGATTTTAAAAAAAATTTCAGATACAGATATAAAATTTACCAACAAAGAAACAAAGTATTAAGTAAAGAAGAAATAAAACTGAATTGTTGAACGGGTTATGTATTGAAAATGTATTTCAAATATGTAAATCATAAAATCTAATTGGATATTATTCATCGTAAACTCTTTAAACGGAAATCAGAAGCATGAGCTTTCAGTTTAGTTTTTTTTTGTCCTGGCATTCTCATTTTTGGCACTATCACCGTGAAATTTTGTGACATAATAACTTTCCCAGTAAAATCGACCAAGTTCGGGTAAACGGCGGGAGTAACTATGAGTAACCTGGCCGGATAACGCTGGGTTCCCTAGGTAAATAATATATATTTATAAATATACAAGTATACCCCTGGGAAGGGGAGAGACTAGAGACAACTGATGAATACAAAACAACATTATATAAACCTAACCCACTAACCTATATTTGTATATTTATATACAGTACATATACAAGGTGAATACTATAACAGGGCTAACAAAAAAAAGTTACATTTCAATGACGATTTTAGACTATTTAAATTTTATAATAAAAGACTGACTCAAATAAAGTGTTTTTAATGATAAAAGTTAGAATTTGAAAAGAAAAAACTAATCAATTCTGAAAGACTTGTTTTGATCTTTTGTGGCTGTATCCCTGTATATACGTATATAGTTTAATACATAAATTAAAAGTTACTTATATACTTGCTGTATCACCTTGTATTTATAGAATTTATCAATTTACAGGTTTTCTTAGTTTTCTGGTAAAAATCCTCAGTTCCTTTAAAAAAAAGAAATATTTTTCAAAAATACGAAATATTAATCAATTTTGAAAATGTTTCAAAAAATCAATGAAATTCTAGATACACCCTGTTACTTATTGGCCTTTGAACTACTAGTACTGATAATTGTTTTAGTTTTTTTTCCTTTTTCCCTTTAAATTGGCTCAATGCTGCTTAAATTATAAATTTTATTGAATGAGTTAAAACCGTCTCTGAATGGAAAAATGTATAATTCCCCAGCGGATAAAATATGATAATCTTTTCCGTGAAATAAGAAAGTAAATCAAACACAGAATAAAGTTAAATTCTTTCTTGAATAAAAAATCGGAGAAAGAATGATTTCTTTAAAGATTTACAGTTTTACATTCTGACTTTGAAAAGCAGATTTTTCTTTAAAAATCTTGTAAGAAATGTAAATTCTCCGTTGCACCATGGTTGTCAAATACTAAACTTGCATCATTTGTTAGATTTCCATTCTTTGGCCGGTCAACTGCAAATCACTGCAGTATAGTTGAGGGTGATATCTATAGAATTATGCATCTATCTTACAGAGTCTCCCAATAAACGTGGGAATTAAAAAACGACCTAAATGTCGTCTTTGATTTCCGACAGTTGTTAAATGCCAAATAGAACATCAAAAACAGTCTGTTGAGGTTTCCAAAATATGGTCACCTCCTTTATACCTTTAAAATTGATTGAAATATTAAACAATTAAAAATGTTGTTTTATTATATACTGGAATCAGGATAAAGGAATTGAGTCTTTGCCACAATTCCTGATTTTCTAATCCCTATATCTTTGCAACCCAATGCCTTAAACTTTAGCTATTAAAAACTATGAATTCTGTTAAATCAAATAATCTAAGTTTGAAATATCAAAGGTTTACACCATCAGGTGGCACAGATATAAGGATTAGAATATTTGAGTCTGTGACAAAGACTCAATACCTTTATCAAAATTTCCGTCCTATTGAAGGTGAAAACAACTGGAGTCTACATTTTGTAAATCCCGAAATAATGATAAATGTTTTTAGTGTTAAATGTTTTAACTGTGATTCTTCTTTAAACAAAGACAATGTAGAAGCCGTTATTTAATTCCCATATGTTTATTGGCACACCCGTACAATTCATGACTCTAAAATGTTTTTAAAGTAATTAAACTCCAACAAATGTGCAATCCTATTCCCGCATTGACTTAAAAATGTTTTATTTCAATTTTTCCACACTTTCACACCTTCAATCAATATTATTTTCCTAATTTTCTGATTTTTTCAATTTCAACTATTGCTGATTATTTCTTTAAGAATTTTTAATCTGAATTCAGAATGTGAAATTTCTAAGAAAATGAGATTTGATGCTTTTTTTCTGACCTTTCTATACTGTACTACTATGATATTTTTTAATTCTTCGGTTGGCACCCCCACCCCAAATTTCCCCCCACACCCCTCTCTAGATCAAATCCTTCACCCGACCAGTCTTCTTCTTTCTTATATCCTGGATTATACAATATACCTCTGCATTCAATAAATATTAAGTTTAATTATATCTTCTAATACTAATGTAATTAGAAACCAAGAATTATACATAATACATTGCAAGTTACTAATGCAAGGAAAAGTAAACACTTGACGGATGTCACAAAAATAATCTATGAAATATTCTGGTCATAGGAAACTATTCAGTGAATTTTCAAAATTATTAAAATTAAATGCTTTTATCCTCCTCGGATACTAGACGAACACTGATGCATCTTTTCTTGTTTACAAATTCCGCCTAGAGAGAACTGATTTCAATATGTACGCAGAGTGTACGCGACCGCAATTAACTTTCCTTGCATTAGTACCTTGATACATTGTATAGTTTGGTTTGAATTAACATTTACAAATGTAGATATGTCAATACAAAGCTAAAGAGAAGAGACTTGAACTTTATTTTAATCAATTTTCAGCTATAAAAATAGGGATATCTACATCAAACAAGGTGAACTAGGGGCCAGTGCCTTCAAATTCCCTTAAAATCTATTTTTTATATAGTTTCTGTTTAGATTTTATAATATGAAAATCTCCTAGGCCAGAATAAAATCTAAACTAAAACGTTACCAAAAAATTGGTGTAAGAAATCAAGTTTTGATCAAGTTTAGCAATCCTTCTCACTGCCCTCTCTCTCCTCAGTTGTTGAAACTTTAAAGATTTGAAAGTTGAGAGGAAGGATTACATTAAATATTTAAATACTCTAGACAATAGTTTTCAGTACGAAACTGTGACATAAGATTAACTAAGGAGAGAATTTCTTCTTATAATTTTATCACCAG